GATGGTAGAGGACCGGAAGGCCTGGAGGAACGTTGTCCATGGGGTCACAATGGGTCGGACATGACTTAGCAATTAACAACAACATGCAGTTCAACCTGGGTATTTTCAAAGCAGAAACATCTCTGAAAGTAGTCCAACTATTTCAGACAAGGCAGTATATTACCAGTTCTGTCATTGTTGGAAGCCTTGTGGAATCCGATAAGGAAATGTCTCTGAAAGAATGGCCCAAGAGGTCACTGGTTGTCTAGTAACAAACTAAAAGGGTAGCCAAGTTTAATGGATCATCTTGCAAAATTTTGCTAGCTTATCCCCCAGTGGCACACTTAGCTGTGGAAAGCTAATAAATAAATTGTCTGCAAAACATAGGCAATGGCTTCCAGGCATGGGTGAAAAGGGCAATAGACAGAGAAGGAGGTGGCTGGATGGAGTCCCTGAAGCAGTAGGCGTGAGCTTCAATGGACTCCAGAAGATAGTAGAGGACAGGAAGGCCTGGAGGAACGTTGTCCATGGGGTCACGATGGGTCGGACACGACTTCGCAACTAACAACAAAAACATTTTCTAATAATTTTCACAGATAGTGGCATAGATTCCTTGGGATGTTCATGACTTCTTCCCAGGGACTGAAAGTCTTACACACTGTCACAAAAGTGCTTTTTCAAGAGGCAAGTTTACTTCCTGGTTTTTCTTTGAAGACGTTTCGCTTCTCATCCAAGAAGCTTCTTCAGATCTGACCGGACGACTCAACGACTCTCTAAAAGGAGGCAAATGACCAGCCGTCTGCAAGGAGTATAAATCCTTCCATTTCCCCACCATCCAGGCAGAGCTGAAGAAGCTTCTTGGATCAGAAGTGAAACGTCTTCAAAGAAAAATAAGAAAGTCTAGTTGCCTCTTGGAAAAAGCACCTTTGGGACCACCCGGACCTGGATGACTTGAGAATCTCCATAGACATTACACACTGTCATTTCACTGTTTGTGTATCCGGTGCACTGTGGTTACTTACTTTTGTAGAGTACAATGTTTTTAACGATGTTTGTAAATAACTGGGTTGAACTTGTGTAAACGCAGCCTGGAGCTGAAGAGAATCTAATAAATGCATGCTGTTAAATAGCGTGGCCTACTGTTACACTTACTACTTACTTATAAAGGCTTACAACGCTGTCTACGGTTATGCATTTTTTAATTTTAACATTGAAGATAATTTCGTTCAAACCAGGCCTACTGAAAGATAAAAGGGCATTTCCCTTCTCCACTGTTACCAATTATCCTCTTGGTGCAAATAGACTCGGTGCCCGAATGTGTGTAAAAATATGCATTTAACTAATGGCTTCAGGAGGAAAGAAATTTTTAAAACTTTCTCCCATTCTGAACTGGTCTCTCCTAGGTTTAGAATGGAAACGCCTTCATAATAAAATGCTTTCCAAAAATTGCTTTTCTATAAAGGCAGAATGCAGAATCGTAAGTCCAGATGTAAACAGATTTTTTTCTTCTTTTCTTCCATAATAATAATAATAATAATAATAATAATAATAATAATGATGATGATGATGATGATGATGATGATGATGATGATGATGATGATGATGGAAGGGACCTTGGAGGTCATTTAGTCCAGCCCCCTGCTCAGGCAGGAAACCCTATACCATTTCGGACAAATGACTGTCCAGTCTCTTCTTAAAAACTTTCGGTGTTGGAGCATTCACCGCTTCTCTCTTTCCTTTCTTCCTCCCTTCATTTTTTTCCTTCCTTCCTTCCTTCTTCTTTCTGCATCACATTTTGGGTTAAAATATGGAGCGAGTAAGGATTGTGCTGTCCCTTTTCTTTCTTTGTTTCTTTCTTTGTTTCTTTTTCTTTCTTTCTCTTTCTTTCTTTCTTTCTTTCTTTCTTTCTTTCTTTCTTTCTTTCTTTCTTTCTTTCTTTCTTTCTTTCTTAACAATCATACACGTCAATATATTCTTTTTTTTTGTCCTGTTTACTGAATGAATAAAAGCTTTGGGAATGGTTTTGACTGAAGAAAATACTACAGCTTAAAAGGTTTCCTAATTTTGCTCGTTGAGTTGATTTAGTGCTATAGAGAGACTACACAGAACTCTACCCCCCTCCCATCTTCATCGTCCCAATAAGAACCCAGAGATTTAGCTTGGGCTGAAAGCGATCAGTCCAAAGTCACCTTCCATTGCTGAGGGTAAGAGTACCCAGTCACCACTCAACACCTTGATCGTTACATTATAGGAACATTCCTACTTTAGTTCTGCTGAGTCCAAGTGATGCTCCAGTAAGGTATGTCCGTATGTGGTTATTATCATCAAAAAGGCAGGAGATTCTGAAACTACTTCCAAGGTGGTGGCTGCTTACCATTTTTTAAGATGATGTCTAGTTTGACCTTCAGGGCGGAAATTATCCAGCCAAACTAGACCTCATTTTCTTCTTCTTCTTGTGCCATATCCGTTATCGGACGTTGGCGATCAAGTTGGCGATCCTGTTTTTATCAGCAGCCACATGAAAAAGTGCTGCTGAGTTTTGTCCAAACCAGTCCCTTAGATTTTTAAGCCAAGATGTTCTTCTTCTGCCTGGACCTCGTTGGCCTTCAATCTTTCCCTGGAGGATTAAATGGAGTATGCCGTAATTTTTCTGGGTGTCGCATCACCTGTCTGAAATATTCTAATTTTCGTTTTTTAATTGTTTTGATGATTTCCCTTGGCTTTCCCAGGCAGCTTATCACCTCCTCATTTCTGATCTTGTCAACCCAGCTTCTACGTAACAGCCGCCTGTAAATAGACCTCATTGGAGACATGGAAAGTACCAGGTTAGCAAACTTGGGTTTTCAAAATCACGACAAAAAGCCACCGCATTTGAACTTTCAAAACAATGTTTATTAAGCTTTCCATCATCCTCTTGACACCCCGATACACCTGAATGTTTCGTTCCAACTGGAAAGGATCTTGGTCAGATCTTAAAAATTTCAGATCTGGCCTTTCATTAACCCAGCAGGACAAAGACAGAAGGAATCGGTGGTATCTGAAGAACGGACAGAAAGAGCTATGAGGAAGGTGGAGGTTATTGGGGAGAAATTGAGAACCTGGCAGAGACTGAGACCCACGTTTGCGTGGCAACGTTTAGCATTTGCAACAAAAAAGGAAGGGGGCTCTATTCTCCACGGTCTGAAGGTTGCACTTTGATCTTCTTAACAGCGTCAAGGACAGCATCCCGGCTAACTTTGTCTCCAAATTCCTTCTCACGGTGTTCCAGGAGAAGCCCCTAAAAAAGAAACAAGCGCTCAGGAACAGGGTTGTCTCCAAAAACTACAATCAGAAAACTTTTAACATTCTCCACAATTTACCTAGTTCTCCCCCCTTCTGGGCTTAGGAAGAATTTTATACCAAGATGTTCAAAAAATTTAAATCATCAATATTATCAACTTCCAGTTCTCCATGTTCAATTTTACAAAATGAAACAGGAATCCCGGTTTCAGAGGTTCCTCATTCATAAGGTTCTGCGACACAAGAAACAGGATTGTATCTCCAAAATAACATCTAAAAGAAGTGAAAAGAGAGAGAGAGAGAGAAAGAGAGAGAGAGAGGGAGACAGACAGAGATAGAGATAGAGAGCAAGAAAGGGGGAAGGAGATAGAGAACAAGAGAGAGGCAGAGGGAGAGAGAGAAAGAGGAGAAAAAAGAAAGATAGCAAGAGGGAGACAGAGAAAGAGAGGGAGAGAGAGAGAGAAAGAGAAGGAGAAAAAGTGAAAGATAGCAAGAGGGAGACAAAGAGAGGGAGAAAAGCAAGAAGGAGAGACAGAAAGAGAAGCAGAAAGAGAGAGAGAGAGAGGAAAAGGAGAGAGAAAGAGAGAAGGAAAGAGAAAGAGGAGACAGAGAAAGAGAAGGAGAGAGAGAAGGAGAGAAATAGAAGAAGAGAGAGGGAGACAGAAAGAGGAGAGAGAGAGAAAGAGAGAGAAGGAAAGAGAAAGAGGAGACAGAAAGAATGAGGGAGAGAGAAGGAGAGAAGGGAGAGAAATAGAAGAAGAGAGAGGGAGACAGAAAGAGGAGAGAGAAAGAGGGAAATAAAGAAAGAGAAGGAAAGAGGGAGATAGAGAAGGAAAGAGAATGAGAGAGGAAGAGAAGGAGAGCAAGAGGGAAATATAGAAAGAGAAAAAGAGAAGAAAGAGAGAGAGAGAGAGAGGAAGAGAGAGAAAGGGGGAGGGAGAGAGAAAGAGAAATCCTTCAGTCTGGAAGAGAAAGCCAATTGCTTTCATGGGCTGAAAGCTGCAGAGAACTGAGACTCCCAGACCACAGCGACAGAAGACCTAGTAACACCTGCCTTTCCCAGCCACACCTGTCCGCTCTCTACCTGTCTCCCTGGGCCGATGACGAACACCCCTCCCAGGATCACGCCTTCTCCATCCAAGTTGCCGGTGTAGCCGCTCCTCCAAGCACGCCAGAAGTTCCTCCAGACGTTCCAGCGGAAAATGGCCAGAAACAGCATCTTTCTTTTTTGAGGGCCGTAGAATTTCCTCTGGGGAACAAAAAAAAAAATGGGATGAGAGGAACTCAGCGGTAAAAACCAGACCGGGAGTCTCCACCTTAGGGAAGATCCACTGAACACGATCACATTAAGCCAAGAATGGCTGATCTTGGAGAAGAAGAAAAAGAAAGAAAGAAAGAAACGGGTTCGAACCACATCTTTAAGTCAATTTTCACGTTGATGTTTATTGTTTTTATGTTTTATCTTGCTGCTTTGATTTGGATGTAAGCCGTCTGGTCTCCTCTAGCCAAGATGCGCGGCAGACAAATTTAAAAATAATTAGTCAAGGAATAAGGGCTGAGTATTTAACCATCTGCTCCCTTCTTTTCCATCTTTGCACCATTTCCTTTCCTAAATTAGATAGCTCAAAGATTAGAATAGAATAGAAGCTGGAAGGGACCTTGGAGGTCTTCTAGTCCAGCCCCCTGCTCAAGCAGGAGAACATATACCATTTCAGACAGGTGACTGTCTAGCCACTTCTTAAAAATCTCCAGTGATGGAGCGCCCACGATTCCTGGTGGCAAGCTGTTCCACTGGTTAATTGTCCTCGCTGTTAGGAAGTTTCTCCTTCATTCCAGGTTGCTTCTCTCTCTTTGATTAGTTTCCAACACTTGTTTCTCGTCCTGCCCTCTGGTGCTTTGGAGAATATTGTCACCCAGAACTGCAAAAAACCTCAACGTTTTAATTCACGCCATAGGGAGGCCTTTTCCAAGCATACAGAAAAACCTTATTCCCAAAGACCAGCATTTGCCAGGGGAACAAATGAACTGAACAACGTAGGTTTTAGCCCATCTCCCCCCAAACAGCGCAAGCAAGGATAATTTTATGCTTCAATGGGTCATCTCCTCCTCCTTAATCCATGTTGTGATTCCTCGTCAGCCAGTGGATCTGGCAGCTGAGTCTGGGGAATCAGAGGAGGGGGAGGAAGGGCCTGGAGTGACACCAGAGTCAGAGGAAGGTTCTGATGAGCTCCAAGACTTACAATCCGACGAGGAGCCTGGCCCCTCCACTAGTGCTCAGGCTGAGACACAGCTGTGCTGGGAGGCTGGGAGGACTCACAGCTGGAAGACATCATAGATGCTCCCAAACGCCGACAGGCAACGAGAGTAGGACAGAGGAATGCAATGGGGCGGCTCCAAAGACAAAGGAGAAGGCATTAAGAAGCTACGCCTTTGGGGCTGCATAATAAAAGGGAAGGTATGAGAGGTGCTGGTTGCTGAAGGCAACCATTTGTGTTAAGGAATCAAGTTTCACTGAATCGTGTTTTGTTTGCTTTTGCCTTTGGACAATTTTCCATTTGGAAGAAATCAAGTTTCATCAAATTGTCTTTTGTTTGCCTTTGCCTTTGGACATTTTGCAGGTCTGTGAATAACAATAAAAGGGGGATCGGTTTTTTCCTGCGGTACCAGCCTGCTTGTTGGAAGAGGGGTTTCTCCTTGTGAGTTTAACAAGGACTCACGTCGGCTAGGACAGAACAGATCCATTTCAAAAAATCCCACCTACCTTTTCATCCAGAAATATTTCCCCCTTGAAATAGGGCTGAAAGTCGGCCACCTCCGTCCCAAGACTCTCTTTCACAACAGCATAAAGCGGTACCCCAACCTGATCCAGCTGGGGTTTCAGAGAGGACAGCTCAGAGGCCTCCTACAGACGAAAGGATAAGTTAAGATAAACTTTATTGTCATTTTTTTACTGTGGGCACAACGGCACAGTCAATTAAATTTTGTTGCCCGCTCCCAAAGTGAAACACATACATGACACACACCTAAACATACTATGTACAACATATGTATAGACCCACACCCCTACATATACAGTACGTAGCAAATAAATATTAAATACTGTCCATCTTGAATATACAACGGAAGGAGGAAGCTTGAGAATTCATAAGGTTGATGCTGTAGGGATTGAAACTGTGGCTGAATCTGGATGTTCTGCTACGGATACCACGAAGCCCCCTCCTCCCAGAAGGGAACAAGGAAAACAGGTCGTGAAGAGGATGTGTCATGTCCCAGATAATCTTGCAGACCCTGCTCAAGCAACGCTTCTGTGCCATGTCCTGGATGGGAGGGAGGGAACTGCCAATGATCTTTTCTGCCGTCCTCACCACTCTCAGCACCGCCTTCCTCTCTATTAAAAAGAGGTTGCTAAGTGAGACATTTTTTCAGTGAATTTCGCTCCATTTTACGACCTTCCTTGCCTGGGTGGTGGAACTTAAGCAATTAAGAGGACGACAAATTGTTGGAAAAAAAAAAAATTGTAACCCATAAATGGAAATAACCGCAGGAGGGCGACTAGCATCCCTGATCTCCCTTCCTTCCGCCGCGCCCTTAAGACATGGCTATTCCAACTTGCAGGACTGGCCTAGGGGAAAATTTTAATGGGGTTTTAAAGCAATTTTTAAATTAAATTGACCAAATTATTAATATTTGATTTTACTTATGTTTTTAAATTTGTAGTTTTTGGGGATTAGTGTTTTATCTGGTTGTTAGCCGCCCTGAGTCCGGAAGGAGAAGGGCGGGATATAAATTAAATTAATAAATAAATAAATAAATAAAGAAGATGCAATTAGGATTAATAGGAGCTTATTTGAATACTTACTCTAATTACATGAATTTAAGTGGTTTATAGAGTCAGCCTATCTCCCCCAACAATCTGGGTCCTCATTTTACCGACCTCGCAAGGATGAAAGGTTGAGTCAACCTTGAGCTGGTCAGGATCGAACTCCAGGCAGTGGGCAGAGTCAGCCTGCAATACTGCTTTCTAATCACTGCGCCACCACGTCTCCAATCTTAAGCCGGTCAGGATCGAACTCCTGGCAGTGAGCAGTGAGTTAGCCTGTAATACTGCATTCTAACCACTGCGCCACCACGGCTCCAATCTTAAGCCAGTCAGGATCGAACTCCTGGCAGTGAGCAGTGAGTTAGCCTGTAATACTGCATTCTAACCACTGCGCCACCACGGCTCCAATCTTAAGCCGGTCAGGATCGAACTCCTGGCAGTGAGCAGTGAGTTAGCCTGTAATACTGCATTCTAACCACTGCGCCACCACGGCTCCAATCTTAAGCCGGTCAGGATCGAACTCCTGGCAGTGAGCAGTGAGTTAGCCCGCAATACTGCATTCTAACTACTGCGCCACCACGGCTCTTAATGGGTCTGCTCCTAGTAGAGTAGAGAATAGCCCACCTCTGTCCTTTCTGCACTTTGCTCCCTCCCTCTCTATCCTGCCTTAGTTTTAATTGCGTTTTTAATTTTAAGATCTTTATTGTTTTAATGTTTTATAAGGCGTTTTAATCAATGTCTGTAGAGTCGCCTTTGGAGTATAAGTGTAATAAATAAAGACAAAACCACTACAACATTCCAGGCTTATAGACTAGGCTGTTCATTAAAAAAAAAATCTTGGGAAAAGGCAGTAGCAGAAAATTACACCGATGCGTTCGTGAATTCACCCGAAGCGCAGCACGACTCAAAGGGAATTTTACTTCGAATTCCTAAGCAGAATCTAAAAAAACCATAAGATATTTTCCTTTCCAGCTGCCCAGATAAATCCCATATCTACTAGGATCTCCTTGGGGCCGTGAGCAAGCAATGGGCATGTAAGGAAATATTCCTAAAAACTGGTCTAAGCTTGTCTTGCCTTAATTCTTTTTAAGACCGAGCATTTGTATTTGGGGGTTAACAGCTTCAGGTTGCTTCTAGGGATTCAGGCTCTTAAACACACACACACACACAAACACAAAGAGCAATAAACATATAAACCTCCGCCCCCGTAGGAAAATCAGATTGCAGGAATGAGACTTGTGGCTTACAGCACATCTGATGCGTTATTTTTTCCAGGCAGAGGAAAACAGGTAAGAAAACATAGAAAAATGTGGCAAACAGGAGTCACTTAAAATACGAAGGGATGATATCTCAGTGTAAGATTCTGCTTCAACATCGTGCTACGTTTGGGCTGCATCACCTAGATTGCTCTTGAAGGAAGACATTTGCAAATCCCATCCTGGTGACAGAAATTCCTGGCCTTAGGAATCTGATTAATGCTCAACTTTTTGTTGAACGGTAGAATCACAAGACAGAATCAGAATAGAGCTGGAATAGAATAGAGTAGAGTAGAGTAGAGTAGAGTAGAGTAGAGTAGAGTAGAGTAGAGTAGAGTAGAGTAGAGTAGAGTAGAATAGAGTAGAGTAGAGTAGAGTAGAATCTGGAAGGGACCTTGGAGGTCTTCTAGTCCAGCCCCCTGCTCAAGCAGGAGAACTTATATCATTTCAGACAAGTGGCTGTCCAGTCTCTTCTTAAAAACCTCCAGGGATGGAGTGCCCAGAACTTCTGAAGGCAACTTCTGTTCCACTGGTTAATTGTCTTCACTGTTAAGAAGTTTCTCCTTAATTCTAGGTTGCTTCTCTCCTTGATTAGTTTCCATCCGTTGTTTCTTGTCCTGTCTTCAGGCACTTTGGAGAATAGTTAGATGCCTTCTTCTTTGTGGCAGCCCCTCAAATACTGGAATACTGCTATCATGTCCCCCCCTAGTCCTTCTTTTCTCTAGACTGGCCATTCCCAAATCCTGCAACCGTTCTTCATATGTTTTCGTCTCCGGGTCTTTAATTGTCTTAGTTCTGGAAGGGACCTTGGAGATCTTCTAGTCTAACTCCTGCCCAAGGCAGGTCCTTGTTTCGTCCTGGACAAATGCTGTCCAATCTCTTCTTTAAAAACTTCCAGTGATGGAACATCCACAACTCTGGGAGGCAAACTGTTCTACAGTCGTTCTGTGAAGAAAGTTTTCCTTGCTTTAAGATTGTATCTCTCTTTAACAAGGTTCTACCCGTTGCTTCTTGTCCTGCCTTCAGCTGCTTTGCAGAAAACGTTAATTCCCTCTTCCCTGTGGCAGCTCTTCCAGGGATTATCCAGGACTGCCTCTCTTTGTGAGCCTGCACCAGTAACTCCAGCTAAGCCAGTTCAAACCAGTCATCCCGCTGGAGAGCTGGCCTGTTTCCAGTTTAATAAGCTGCTACCGTATCTCTGCTAAGCTGCACAGTTCCTTCTTTTGGGTTCCACATTTTCAAACCCCTGTTCTCCGCCTTTTGTGCTCCTGGAGATTAAAGCCTTTTGTTCTTTGTCATTTTATTTTATTTTCCTGTCCAATTTCCCTGTTCCTGCCTGTTGTCCCTGTTTCAAATGTAGATTTAGACATGCTTAAAAGCTTTGTTCTCCTGTGTTCGTTTTTGGTTCGCTGCCCAAAGGATTGGCAGTTTAAGGAACACAGGATGCAATGGTACGCTTGAAACCAGAGAAAGATTTGCATCCTAACTAACTGAACATTCCTCCATTCTCAGTTCAGGAGAACAAATCAAGTTCACAGAAGAATTGTAAATAAGAGAGAAACCATCTGCCTCAAACACCAGGAGATCAGCTGAGATTTCTGTAATCTTATTCTATCCTCTTCCAGTAAGTCTTACTAAGCTTATAACTGGAAGAACCTTGCTTTCTGTGTAGGCTTAACAGAATAAAAGCAGGCTTAACAGAATAAGAGTTGGAAGGGACCTTGGAGGTCTTCTAGTCCAACCCCCTGCTCAAGCAAGAGACCCTATCCTATTTCAGACAAAAGGCTGACCAATTTCTTCTTAAAAACCTCCAGTGGTGGAACAACCACAACTTCTGGAGGCAA